CAACGACTACATTACTGCTTTGTCCATTTACTATGGTATATAATTTATTGTTCTTTTAGAGTGTTCTCTTTCTACTTCCAAAAATGTTTTCCGTAAAGCAGTACACCGTGTGATGCCAGCAGCCACCATATGTATCTGGTGTTTACTGCCTCTCTCCATTGCATCATTTTCTCTTGTGCTTGATTTAATATCGCATCGTTTTGTGCGGTAACGTGCTGTGTGGGCTTGTAGCCCAGGAGCAATGGGCTAAAGCTCACTCAGCAGGGGTGTTTGACCTTTTGGCATCTCTGGGCCACACTGGAAGAAGAAGAGTTGTCTTGGGCCGCACATTAAATACATTGTGACACGTAATCACAAAAATATCTCACATTTTAAGTAAATTTACGATTTTGCGTTGGGCTGCATTCATAGCCATCCTGAGCCGCACGAAGCCTATGGGCTGCAGGTTGAACACACCTGCTCGTAGAGGGTGGGTGTGTAGTAGGCCAGCATTTCGGTTTGTGTATGTGCACTCTATGTTGTTCACATGTCTCCAGTGTAACCGTTGTATACAGGTAAAACTATATAGAACTATTTCTCTCAACCCCTGTATTCTGCTTCCCCATGACCCCTTGTCTTCGCAGCACTTGTCTTCTGGCAGACTGTTTATTATTTTTCTTCCCCAATAGCACATGAGCTCCATGAGACAAGTTTTGTTCACTGCTGTGTCCGCAGTGCCCAGAGCAGGGTCTGGCACACAGCCAATGCCAGCTTTTGGGAAAAGACCCAACGAACAACCAGAAAAAACCCTATCAGCAGCCCTACCATTGTGTCACTGTATTTGAATTATAACCAGTCTCTAATTTTTTAAAGACGCGTATTTATTCTTTGGCAGTGTTGGCTGGCCTTCCTCTGTGGAATCACACTTGATAGCAATGTCTCCTGAGACTCCTTAGTGATAATGTACATTGTCTTCCTTCCTGTTTAATAATTTAGAATTTTATAATGCAAATGTTTCCTCTAATGTCAACCTTTAAAAAGTATTAAGCCAAACAAGATTGGCCAGTGAGCAGCATTTGATGAGAGGCTGGCATTGAGCGATGAGACTGAACTAGACTCTTTTCTGGGGTCGCCGGAGAGGGATGTCATTCCTGTCCTGGTGGCGCTTACCATTTCATGCATGTTCAGCTCCCACACAAAAGAAAGTCTCAGGGTTATCAACAACACACAAATAAAAGCAATGAAAATGGACAATGTAAGTGCTAGTTAAATGAGACACAATGGCTGATGGGCCTTTCGAACTGGAATAATTCCTAGAAGCTGAGTGAAAAGCTGGAACTTCAAGATTTATGAGGATAAGGTAGGAAAGAAGAAATGGTACGTGCAAAAGGAAATGACGACAACAACGTGAGCACAGCTTCATTGGCTACCTTGTGTCTAAACTACACTATGAATTTGGCCTGTAGCCTTCCTCTTTATTATTGACAGTGTTCTGTGCTTTCCCTTTAATGTATCACATTCTATTTTGAATTCAAACGGTCTGTACTTTCAATGACAGGGCAGGGTGACTTCATAAACTCCTTCCACCTCATCCTCAGGTCTCAGCTGAAATGTCATTTTCACAGAGAGGCTTTTTCCGGTTACTTAATCTGAAGTAAGTGTGCCTTGTGATTCTCTATCTTGGTGTTTCTTTCATAGCTCTTAGCACAATTTCTAACCATAAATTTATGACCTTATCATCTGTCTTCCTTACTAGATTATTAACTTCCTAGAAGCAGGGTGCTCATATTTTTTTCATTACTGTATACAGATCACTTAGCCCAGTGCCTGACATTTAATATATGTTTGTAGAGATGGAATGAAATAGTGCATACTTCTGTGAAGTCCAAAAATCCATATGTAAAATTGATTGCAATACCAAAAATAATTTTATTTTAAACATTTACCAAGTTGGGCTAATTTCTGATACATGAGATGTGTATCAACATAACTATAATACATACATATACAAGTATATACATACAGAATTCATATATATGGTAATATTTGGAGCTTTACCTATTGAATTTCAACTGTGTCAAATATTTCATCTTTTACAAGAAACCTAAACTGTTCATGAGAATCTTTACTCTATCTGAGGTAAGGGATAGAATCCAGGGTAGGACTGGTATATGGGGGTGGGATGGGCCTGGTTGCTCCTGGCCCACACAGGGGGCCTTGGTGCTGATCAGAAGAAGGAGCCCCCCTCTGCTGGGTCGACCCAACCAAGCACCGATGCACGGAGCTCGGGAGCGGAGCTCGAGCAGGACTTGGCTCCCGTCCGCCGCCTCAGCCAGGTGCCCTGGTTCACATGGAGGTGGCAGTCCTGGATGGGGCTGCTCCACGCTGGCGCGAGCAGAACATGGGACCCAGCCACCTTTGTGCAGCTCCATTTAAGGGACCCCCACCCTTAGCACTCCATTCCAGTGCTTCAAAAAAAGACTGATTCATCTGGATGCATTTGGGCGGGTGGGGGTCCTCCTCACCCTCCTTTGATGAGGGAGCTCCCCCTGACCACTTCTCCAGAGTGTGCAGGTGGTGTGCGCCTCCAAGGGAGCTTCTAGGGTTTAATCTGAGGGAATAACCCAAAACTGATTCCTCATTCCTAGAAAGTGATGCTGTCCATCTGGCTGTAGTTGAGCTTTGCAATTTCCCTCTGCAAAAAAGAAAAAGAAAAAAGAAAAGAAAAGAAAATCAGAAGTTAGTTTATGTGTATAATACTGCTTAGTGACTGGAGATTCTATCAGTGGCACTGAGAATAAGCTCAGCTGTCTCATCAGTGACCCGATTTATTGACTGCCATGATTGTCTCATTTCTGTAATCCTTTATAAACTCTCTCGGTCTTGAAACTTAGGGTCATAGGTTATAACAGCTGCATAAGGTTCTATAACCAAAATTAATTTACCTTTCAGGAACTTTAGTCTCGAAGTGCAACCATAAGGCAGGCCTATTTCAAAACTACAAAGATGAATTCATCCCTTTGGGAGCCACAGTGACAGCTCAAACCACTGAGATCTAGTTTTAGAAAGATTTTTATTTTGGAAAAAAGAACGTAAGACCTTGGAGAGCCAAATACCACCTAGACTGGGTCCCTGGGTTCTGGTTTTTAAACAACCTGACTAGATGAGATTATGTGAATAATTCAGTCTTGATGGGGTTCATCTCCAGATCTGTGTATTACATGAGAGTTTAAAGTCTCAAAATCTTTATAACTCTATGCTTTATTTTATAAATCCTCAAAACAGGGAAAGTGTCAGATAACGTGTCAGTGGATCAGAAGGAACGTTTCGGATCACATGTTGCTGGACGTGTGTGCAGTGTGCCCTGGGAGACACTAAATTTGTTATAGAGGGCTCTACTCGGAGCTCAGTACTGGACTAAATATTCCAGCAGAACCTTTCCACTTATTCTAATTAGTCACCTTTTGGGGAACAAATCTAGCTCCACTAGCAAATCCGGACCCAGGAAGTGAATCGGGTAGAAGGCTTGTCTAGCTGCAGGGCCCACTTTACTAGTAATTAGCTCAATTAACTACCCACCTCCATCATCACCAACTTTGACGTTAGCTTGGCTTGGCGAAATCTATGTCCCAGCAGTGAAGCAAATCCAAATATGGCAAATATTTCCTCCATTGCCAAAATGGGAAAACTGCCTTATCTCCTCTTCAAAATCCATCTACCAGAAAAATCATCTCCCCTATTAAATGCTCAAGTGGCACTAGGCACGCCGTTGTGTGCGGTCCCTGTAACTTCAGCTCGTGGGGATCTCGAAACGTCAAGTCACCATTCTTGATAACTTACAGATCTTTTCAGAAACTTTCTTTAGGCAGACTACGTCTAACTGGGGGGAAGTTTAATTTATTTAGGTACACGGGATACATAGGGCATCTCGCTTCTGGACCTCAGCAAACCTGCTATGAATTCTTCCTCCAGAACTATTGCCTCCGTATTGAAACCCCCAGGGAAATCTCTCCGGGATTTTTTTTCCCCCCATTGAAAATGAAGCTGATTCGCGGCCAGCTCATTCGCCTCTCCTCCACCTGGGGCCGGGGAAGCCTGCGTTCCGGGGGATCGCCAGTGGGGCCTGGCAGAGTTCCAGGGCACAGGTGGGGGCCCCGCAGGGGGTGTCCGGGGCCAGCTCGCCCAGGTGGGCGCAATCCCTCCCGCGGGCAGACTTCGCCGCGCACCCCGTTCGTGCGGTTTCAGTAGCGCGCAGGACCTTAGGCAAGGATGGCCACCCTTCTCGGGAGTCTTCAAACCACCTCCACCTACACAGCGGCTCGCAGCATCTGGGTTGCACCCGCCACTAAATCAGACCCCAAGGAAGATCTTTATCGACTAGAGCTTCACATTGAAAATCACCAGGGAGCAGAGGGAGTCTGTGCGGGCCAGCAGCTGGAAAGGGGCCGAGAAGCTCCCTCCTGCCACCTCCAGCCGAGTCTCGGCTCATCCTCCCCCGGGGTGAGGGGCGGGCCGGGGCCGCGACGGGGAGGCCACGGAAGGGGCCCCTCCCTCCTCACCTCCCGCGGCCCACTCCTACTCACTTTCTCTCGGAGCCTCAGCTCGGCCGCCTTTAGCCTGGGGTGGTGCGGAGGGGCTGCTGCCAGGAGAAAGGAGAGGTGGGGACTCTCAGGGCCGCGACCTAGCCCCAGGCCGACCGGCCGGAGGACCGGGGCCGTGGACGCCCCCACCCGGGCACCCGGGGCGCCCAGGCCAGGCGGGCGCGTTGGGTTCCGCGTCCCGGAGGCTGGCTCCGAGAGCTCGGCCAGGCCCCCACCTCCGCCCGCCGCCGCGGCCCGCGACCCCTCCCAGAGCATCCCGGAGGTCGCGGGGCCCGGGGGACGCGCTCGCGCCGGGGCCTCCCCCTCCCCTCCCCCCAGTCCGGGCGGGGGCGCGCGAGAAGCGGTGACGTCAAGGGGCGCGCGGTGGCAGCACCTCCCCGCGCGCTAGTTAAAAAGAAGAAGAAAAGAGGGAACGAAACATGAGAGGCTGTGTGAGAAGCTGCAGCCGCCGGCAGAGGAGACCTCAGCATCATCTAGAGCCCAGCGCTGGCCCTGCGTTCGCCTGCCGCGCCGCCGCCGGTTCTGTGCCTGCTACTGTCTCACCTAAACAACTCCCGTTACACGGACAAGTGAACCTCTGTGGCCGGCTTCTCTTCTTCTTCCTCTTCCAACTCTTCCTCCTCCCACTGCCCAGCCGCAGCAGAAAGCCCCTAACCCCACTGACACTGGCACAGCTGTACACGGTGTCATCCGCCCAACTTTCTCTCGCTCCTCGGGCTCCCCCACGGCATTGGACCATCGTCTTTTATTTTTTGCAAAGTTGCATCGCCCCCTCCACCTCTCTCTGCCTCGCAAGTGTCCCGCCGCCCTGCAGCCTCCTCACGGAGCTGCGCCCTAGTGCCCCTGCTGGGCAGTGGCGTCCCCCCCCTTTCGCCCGCGCCCACCCCCGGCCGCTCCGGGCAGACGATGCTGAAGATGCTCTCATTTAAGCTGCTGCTGCTGGCCGTGGCTCTGGGCTTCTTCGAAGGAGATGCTAAGTTTGGGGAAAGGAACGAAGGGAGCGGAGCGAGGAGGAGAAGGTGCCTGAATGGGAACCCCCCGAAGCGCCTGAAAAGGAGAGATAGGCGGATGATGTCCCAGCTGGAGCTGCTCAGTGGGGGAGAGATGCTGTGCGGTGGCTTCTACCCTCGGCTGTCCTGCTGCCTGCGGAGTGACAGCGCGGGGCTGGGGCGCCTGGATCACAAGGTAGGCACGCACCCGCCTCACTGCTGCGAGATTGGCACGCAGGCTGGGTGGGGTCCCCTGCGGCTCCGGCAGTGCTGGTGGCTGTAAGAAAGGCGACACTTGTTTGGGAAGTTCTTTCTGATAACTTTTTTAAAGCGCTAGCGTGGCTCCGTTGTGCGTCCCTCCGGGGTGCGCAGAGGCACCTCGCCCGCCCCCAAGAGTCCGCGGTCGGGATGCTGTGCAAAACTGTCTGTCTCAGAAAAGAGAAGCTTCTGTGGTACCCATGTTCGGGGCCGGGTAAACATTTTAAAAGAATCGCGATTAACAGTGTGTTTTGGAGCGAATTGGGCACTGGCTGCGGTGAAACTGTAAATGAAGGTGGCTGTGGTTTCCGGTTTATTTTTCTAGAGTGAAAAGATTCGTGCAGCTTTCTCCACGTGCTCGGCTAGGGAGAGGGTTGACTCGTAAAGGACGGTGAAGCATGGTTGGTTTATGATCCCCAGCCCCGTCAGAGGGGGTTGTCTAACGTTACAATCGTTAAACAGCGAAAAGGGAACTCGTGGGACTCCAGCTGAGAACCCGCAACCCTGACGACAGATTTTGGCTGGGACGTGCCCACCGCAGAAAACAGACAATTCTCCGTCACTGTTGGTACGGCGCTGTCCTGTCATCGGTTCAGGCTTCCCAGGCTGTAGTTGTCTGGGACGATCTCCTCTAGAAACTTGTCTCAGGAGTGAGGGCATTTACACTTTCTTCGTGTTAGTCAGTTCAAACAAATGTGAGAATAGTGTTGGCTGAGTGAAAAGACAGGCTTATTTTTGAGTTTGCAACCTCTCTCGCGCGGTGGGACGCGGTAATGTGTGCTGTCTACTGTACTCCAAAGAGAGACTGGGGGGCACGTCATTAACAATCCCTGCACGTGAAATAAACAATCAGGTGTCTTTGCTCCCCCTCCCTTTCCCCATTTTAGGTTTAATTAAGAATTCCTCTGTTACAACACTGCAGTTGTCAAGGTCTGAGAGACTCTTGGAAAACTTGTGCTTCAGTCTTGCTGGCCCAGGCATAATAAAAAAAAAAAAAAAAAAAAAAAACCCAGGCTGAATCTAATTTTTATGCTCAGTTCACGGTAGATTTCACTCTATTCTCATGTAAACAGCTCCTACGAATCAACATATGTGTCTGGGTGGTATCTCTCACTTTGTTTTGTAACAAAAAGCCATATTGCATCATTTAATTTGCTCAAGTCATGCAAATAGGAAAAAATCAATAGGACAAAAAGGGGTCGACTTATCCTCCTCCCCACTAAACTGCTGCCCACACACAGAGTCCTGTTGCTTATGGCAAAAGAATAACAACAACACCATTGTGTTTGTTAGTTGGTTCACTAATGGGTGAAACTAGAGAACATCATTCTCTTTCAGTCCCCAGCTCTGTCCAAATGTTCATGCCTTTTGAGGGAGCATTTGTCCAACTCCCTCTATTCCCAGATGAGTGAGAGCTGTCTTGCTGCAGGTTTTCAGCTGCAACTCACTCTTTATTCTTACCATATGCAGCAGTAGTCTGAGATTCAGGGACAGATATTCCAGCATTTTATTCAAAACAATGTCATTAAGCTCCTGTGTTGTAATTGAATTAAGTTACAGCATAGCTACATTCACGTCATCTGCAGGGTTTTACCAGGATCCCAAAAGAACCAGGAAACTCAGAGGAAGGTTTAGAAATTTTTCCCAGCAGGTCTCCCTGTGTGCAGTGTGCACTGTGAGTCCACCCGTGATCTCCAGCCTCCTGCCACACTGAACAGGAACACAAGGGATGAAAACTCCGCTCTGAACTAAATGCGGTGAAGGGGCTGGGGGAGGGGACTGATGGGCGTTATAACCCTTAAGAGGAGTTACATTAAGTTTTGTTTTTTGTTGGTTTTTTTTTTTAAAAGAAATCACTCTTTAGGAAGCTATCTGCCACGTTAGCTATCCACATTCCTTTCCATTTTACGTTCTTCCAATCTCCACCAAACCCCTACTCGTTTGGGAAATGTGTCTGAATTAAATTTGGTACACTAGATTTTGCTGGTTTCATTACAAATGGTTTATAAACCAACTATACTCAAATTGTTCAAATCAGAGACTTGATATAGCTGTACCTATGCATTCTTAACCTATGGTAGCTCTCAGGTTGTAATAGTTTTTAAAACTTGTTATTTTTATAATAAACTTCACTCTTTCCCTTCTTTCCCTAAGCCTTCCAGGTTTATAATATATGTTAGGGTCTTATTTCATAATGTGTGCACAGAAGAGATGATGACTATTTGAAAGGGCTCTTTTTTGTTTATGAAAAAAATTCTCCCCCCGCCCCCGCCCCAGGAAGATTTCTGCAACTTTTCAGGAAACTGCAGAAGTAGCCTTTTCCTATCAGAAAAAATTTCATAGGCAGATAGTAGGAAACTAGGTAGGAATATTGAGCATGCTCAGCTGTGCCATTAAATCCAGTTTCCAGACTAACACATTTTCTTTCCTGTAATGAACCAGCTTTGAGTTCAATTTCTTAGCAACGGTATTATGCTTTTATATTTTAATTTTTTGTATACTTTAATAGTTTTGTGTATTGTAACGAGATGGCTATCTACCATTATAAATAATTATCGCCAAAATTTAGGAAGTTATATTGTCTTAATATATTTGCAGCTCCTAAGTACAACATGCTAAAAGGCTCTAATTCCCATGAGCCAAACTGAATCCACAACCAAGAGAAATACCCCCATTTCTAAAACTTAGATTGTAGCCACAGAAGCATAGAAGATCTCTCTACCTTGGGTGGTTTCACAGCCAAAGCTGTCAAGGAATGGGTGAAAAGTAATTGTTTTCAAGTGTGCCCTTTTACAATCATTTGTTTGCTCTGGCTCTTTCAGGGACAAAGGCTATTGTTGAACACATCCAACTAAACAAATAATTCATCCTGGGGTCCCTTTAACAGCTGCCTTAGTACAATGATCTATTTACATATTAGCCTAAAATTGAAACTGAACTCTTTAATGACATAATCCAGCACTATAGTCCAGAGGCCCATGTGTTCCACCCAACAGCTGAAGAACCTTGTAGCCATATGATTTTTAGAAATAACTTTTTATGTACCAAGTGATCTTAAGGTGACATCTTAATATACTGTCATGCATTTTCTCCTTTTGTCTGCTCATCAAGCCCATGTGGGGGCCTTTTTATTCTCTTTGTTTAGTTACTTGATAAAGAAAGAGAAATACAGAAGGTCTCTGTCACCCCTTTCACTGTTTGTTGATAAGCTATAGTTGTAGGCCACGCTTCCCTGTGTATCCCAGGATTTATCTTACCTTTCTTCTATGGATTTTACTTTCATGTGGCTAAAGATTAAAGGATGACCTGCCAGATGTTATAAATTAGTCAGCAACAGCCACAATCATTACTAGGCATGCTGTAATAATGTTTCGAAGTTTTACATGATTTCCAAAGTATATTTAGTTTAAACCACTATAATTTGATGGTTTCGTATATGGCTTTTAAAAATCGAAACAGGAAATTAGCTTAAATTTCTTCTTAAGATTGATGACATTGTCAGACATAAAGTTAAGGACCTATATAGACACAGACACATAGGCCAAAAAGAAAAAAAATACTCTACGCACACACAGCAGTACACATCTGTCTAAGACAGTGTTGCAGCTTGGGCTGAGTCAGTTTAATTGACTTCAGTAAGACTATTGGTTCATTGAAACCAAAGCCAGAATGATGGCTCTATCTATCTTCAAATGGGTATTTACACTGCAGACCTCACACAGAGCAAAATGTTACCATCCTGCTGGGCCGGAACAGCATGAAACTTTGCAAAGAATAATATTATACTTGATTTCAGATAATTTATTGAATCCTATTTCTGAAACTTTTGATGAGAGATCTTGTGGCCAGGACACATTCCAAAAATTGTAAAAGACAAAATTCTTTAGGCACTAAAATCAAGCTCTTCCTGGATAGCAGCTGGGAGAGTACATGGGGATCATTTTGTTTCAGCTATTAAAAAAAAAATGGAAGCATGCATATTCTCCCTAAAACCAAAGGTGATTGCACTGCAGTTTTTCATCCAGCAAAAGAGGTGGCTTCAGCACCCTGCAGTTGTTTTGTTCTTAGAGGACTGCTGTGTGATAAACAAACAGAACAAAGTCTAACAGTATTAATATTGAATAGATCTGGTGAGGTCTGCCAGCGTATGGACAATAAGAGACATTTAAAACATTCTTGGAATGCAAATTCTAAGTGTCTGGTGTATGTTTCCTTTTAGAAAACTTTAACCATTTAAGCTATTGTCATTTAGGTAAATTGATAAAAATTAATAGGCAAGTATAATGGTGATTAAAAATGACTTCTGAATCTTGTAGATAGTTACAACATATTGTGTATATATATTTTCTGAAATTGGGTTACTTCTGTTGAATTTTTAATGACTGCATGCTAAAATTTCAGCATGCTTTTATTCAACTACTTTTTTTAGTTGCTTTACTCTTTCAGACCCAGATTTTGGGATCACCTAGAATGTCTTTATTCTAAAAAATAGAAGCCATACAATGTACTCAAATTAGAACCTCAATTTGTGAATGAAATATTTGCTTTAAACAATGGTCTAGAGATTAAAATATTAATTCCAGTTTGTAGTTCTAAAGAAATGATAAAGTATAGATGTAGTTACATAAATTGAGAAGGTATAAAATTCAATTCCATTATGGTATTTTTTAATATGAAAAATCAGTTATTGATTTAGACAGCACTACATTTCATGTCTCAAATGTTATACTGATATCATTACCCTATATTTATTTGAGTGACTCCTGAAGGTTTTTAAAGTTAGCACTAGACACCAAGTTAGTACTGGACACCAAGACCTAACTTTAGTCAATCAATGACTCCCCAAATGGTCTTATTGAAATAAAAGACATAATATTGTATAAATAACGATAAAAGTATGTCTTTGCCCATTAGAACTTACTAAATACTATACAAAGGTACTTTTATTAGACTCTTGGGTTTATTTTTGCATATAACATACCTGAAGAGCTAGTTAGAAAGTTTTTCCTGGCTAAGATACAATGAATAATAAAAATTGCTCTTAAACCTGTTTGATTCAGCTTCAGGTATCCTTTTTATAAAACATGAAAGAGAAAGATTCCCCCCCCGCCCCGGCACTTTAGAAAATTTTCCCTATGCTATCTGTAGATTGAACATTAATTGAAATTTGAAAAATGTAATTCAAATTAACATCTTTGAGACTATCATATTAGGAATTTCAGGAGTGAAATATATTTTTAGCTAAGACACAAATAAACCATGTTTTAACAAATTCTGCTTCACAGAGTTGGATAAAGTTATTTGGAATTTTAAAGTTAAGTATCTATCAGTCAGTGTGCACTATGAGGCAGAGTAAAGTCATAAAGGATTAAAGGGTCTAAATATAACTGCCATTTAATTTTTTGCACCTGAAAGACAGACAAACCACTTTGACTTGCAAGAGTAAGAACACTTTATGCATCCCTACACTTGGCTCTTACATCTCATGCAAGAGAGTACCTGCATCCTCATAAAGGCATTCTGTATTGTCACGTGGTATTTCTTTTCAGACAACTGCATTGGCTAAATTATACTTTTATACTTACATAATTACAAAAAAGAAGTAACTAAACCTAACTTCACATAACTGAAAAGTTTATTTCTGATTTATGGCTTTCAGATATTTTCTGTGACCAACAACACTGAATGTGGGAAGTTACTGGAAGAAATCAAATGTGCGCTTTGCTCTCCACACTCTCAGAGCCTGTTCCACTCACCTGAGAGGGAAGCGCTGGACAGAGACCTAGTGCTGCCCCTGCTCTGCAAAGACTATTGCAAAGAGTTCTTTTACACTTGCCGAGGCCATATTCCAGGTAAAAAAAAAAATGCATACATTTAATAAACCGCTGCAGGATATCCTTCCAAGGCACCTGTTCTTAAATGCTTGCATACAAGAGTGTAAAATGTATGTTGTCTTTCAAAATCCCTATTCTTTCCTAAGAGTTAACCTTTTCACATTTGTTACCTCTTATTGCTGCTAAACAGGATTACTGTCCTTTTGGCCCACAAGCAGTATGTAGGTTGTGTTGAAATGTTCTACTTTTTGTCGTTGTTGTTAAACCAATGACACAGTTGGCGATCTTTACGCGCATTGTAGTATCAGTTGATTATCAACAAATTTCTCCTTGGTGTCTTTACCCACCCACATTGTATCAAGACAGGCTCCCCTTCTACACAGCTGAAACATACATAAATGCAGACTGTCCACTAACTTTGAAAGTATGTCCTTAAGTAAAATCCAATTCAAAATCCAAAGAAAGTAACATTTTACATAGCACTTTCACATATAATGACGAATCTGCTCCTCAAAACCCCTGGGAGGCGGGAAAGGTGGAGCCATCTCCACTTCAGAGATGAGGACAGCAGAGCCTCAGGAGACACTCAAGGCCTTAACCAAAGCTGCACAGTAAGATAGGGTGCGCGTGGGAGTTCTTATGTTCACAGTGTTCCAAACATACCTGGTCACCACCATGTTTTGGACCCTAATAAACATATAGAGTCTTGGGCGTTGATTAATTTTACCATCAAAAGTTTGTAAACTTGGGTTGTTGGTTTAGTTGGAAGAATCAACATAGAGGTAGAAAAGAATTTAACGAGACAGATTCTGTTTAGTTAGGCAAAGCCACACACAAACAAATCTACTGAAGCTAACAGTTTATAAAACTAAATGGCATTGAAGGAAAAGACAAGCTTTAAGAACTCTGGGATGTACTGGGAGAATTTTTTTCAACTGCTATACACATTTCACTTTTTTCTCTGACCCAGAAAAGTGTAGATTTTTTTTTTTGTATTTTTTTTTATAGAGCTCTCTTAATAAGCTAGGAAAACATTTTGACTAGGGTGGCTTGCTTCCTTTGGTATACCGTAACATATATGTAAACGCATTCCATGTGAAAATATTATTATTGTCTTTATAAACTACAGCCATGTTTCCGAGGCTTTTCTTAAGCCAGCTGTTTCTTCCTCTTTATCACATTCCCCAAAAGCAAAGGAGAACAGGTCACGGTTGCCTCCATGGCTTGTCGAGAAGCGATAACAGATTAGGTCCCATAAAGGTTTGCTGCACATTTCAAGCCTGGAAGGTTTGCCTTTACCACCCTCAGTTGAAAGTGATACGGACACTTAGCATTTTCATCTACCTCTCTCTCCTGGAGATAAAGCCGACCCTGCTGGATTTAGGAACTCATCTGTGGGGGTCTTCCTGTATCTGAAGTTATTTTAGCTTCCAAAACAAACCCCAGAAAGCGATACCCACTGTGGGAGAGAGCACAGCAAGCTGCTTAGGGGCCAGAACGGCAAGCACCTCGCTCCCCAGATCAACAGATGTGGTGACGAATGACAAATTTATTTTTCTACAAAGTTTGTATATATGTAAAACTGCTGAAGTGCATCAAGATGTCAAGTGCTTTTGGTGGCCACCCAGGCTGCCTTGAAAGATAACCAGATGAAAGCTCCGCTCCAGCGGTGGACGGAGCCGCTGGGACGCTTTTGCGGGACAGGCCAGCAGGCTTCGGCAGCCAGCAGAGGGCCCTCCTCTGGGTCTGTCCAATGCTGGGGATCGCTCTAAACACGTGTCCCCAGAGGAAGCTGTGGCAACGCGCTCTTTGCATTATGTTGGTCAGTTTGTTAGCCAGGCTGATCGTTGGCATGTAGGTTGCTGTTTCCTAAAGGATGATGAATAAGATGGTGATCGGCCCTCAGCCCTCGCCCCTAACCCAGAAGGCTCTTGAACATTCTAGACCACAGATTTTTTAGCGATTGCTCAAAAAGCAGGTTTTTAATGCTTTCACCTTCTTAAGTCTATTTCATAATGTGTTTTACTTTTTTCTGAAGTTCAAAATGATAGAAAAAGAAAAAGCCACTTTTAAAAAAAAGATTCTTTGTTTATATAAAATGAGTCAACATATTTTGACTATCGTCATTAATACCTTCACCTTTCTGCAAATCAAAAGCATGGAAAAGCGGGTATCCTAAGGCATGTATTTTGCTAAGGCAAATGCTGAAAGGGGTCGAAAATAATTCCAGAGACACCTCCCTGTCTCCCTCCCTTGCCCGATACATAAAGAGATCAATACATACATAAGCTATCCCTTTGTGTCACCTTCATGGCTTTAAGAACACACTGACCACTTTGGAATACATGTACCCCTGAAAGACAGTTACTTTCTAGAAACTTTAACTCAGGAATATTCATGGTCTGCTTACTTTCCCAAAAAGTGAGAAAGGAAGTTAGAAATCACTGTAATGAGGATACACTGGAGTTTTATGAACCATATTCTCCATTTGTGAATTTACTTTGGGAGGTAAATTCTTAAAAGTTCTAAAAACACTGAAATTACATTAAAAAACACCCATGCAGGAGCTCCTTTCTGAACGCCACAGGTCTCTTCTTCTGCCTGAATTATGATGAACAGAATGGGTGCTTTGCTGTTCACTAAATAATGGCATACCTCACTCTAGAAAGTCTTGCTTCTTCCATCATAGTCATTATCCAAACTGATTTTTATCACTCTTAGAGCATCATCTGTAGGTTATTGTAGCATGAAATGTCTGTGCCCAATTAGTTCAATTGGTTTAATCCTGTTACTAATGAGGCCAAGGTCAAGGATTTGATTCCACTGAGTTTCTCTAGTCCACAGCCACTCCTGACCCCAGTCAGATATCTTACATATGTGTCTTATTAGTCCCCAGGAGAGCAAACCAGAGGGAGTGGGTGGACACATCAAATCTACCACCCCTACTAGAAAAGTGCTCTGGAGTGCAAGCCTTGCTGACAGTGGGCTCCCCCGCCCCATTTTTTTCCTTATCATGATGAATACCACATGTAATAAAAAAAATAACTTTTCTCTAGCATACATGCTGAAAGAAAAACTAGAGCTTAGAATTTTTCACAGAGGATATTTGTTTACATGCAGTGTTTTATAGGGTGCTTCGTGGTATAATAGGACTGGGTTCATGGTCCAGGAGAATAGTTCCAGGCCCAAGACAGTTTGTAAGTTATCAGGAGTTTAAACAGAAAGCATAATTACTGGAACAATCGGTGAACTTCCATCATGAGTAGACTTGATCTTGTTACGATGACCCAAGGTGAGCTCAACACTCACTTTGAGTAACATGCTCTTCAGTGTGGTCTCCCAAACAGAAGGGTACCATTTGGTAAGTTACATCTTCCCTGGCAATAAACAATAGCCCAATGTCCTAAACGAGATCCCTTTAGCTCTCGCTAGAAAACTATATCTTATTCATCGGTTGTAAGAAAAATGCCGATATTTATATGTCAAAGTCTTCTGATTGGCTCCCTCTCTCGCTTAGATGACTCACCGTGTCTAGATTCTGTAAAAAGCTCAGAGTAATTCATTGTTAACCTTCTGGTTTTGTTTTGCTCTTAATTTGCTAGAAGAGCACGGTACCTCTGGAGTTACAGAGTTTATGAATTGGCACCATTAATCTTCTGAGTTCTCACTTCCTCATGTTTGTCCCCAGCTATTAATTTTGTATAAAATGGAACCAGCCACTAGTATTGTTCCTTCATTTCCCTCTAAGATGGTATTGGTTTGCAGGCTGTAAGGCTGGAATGCACACTTTTTTTTTTTTCAGCAAAACCAAAATTTCTTCTGAATTATGCTTTCAAATTTTTCTGTGACCCAAAATTTCTCCTTCACACATTTGGTAATAAACATATCCATAGTCTGACGCTCTTCCTGAATGTATGAAGATGGGCGTGGGTTCCTCCTGCTTGAGTGTAAATACATATCTCTATAAAATATATACATTCTAAAACCTATAATGTATTTTACATATAATATACATATAGATACATTCATTATATAAATATATAGATATTATATATTATGACTTATATACATCTCCAAAATCTCCAAAAGATCTAGCCCAAAACTATTCAAAAAGTTTAATTTAGCAACTCAGTTCTTCTTCTCTTCTTTCCACCCCAAGCAGACTTGTTGAATGCTACCAGGCAGCTTTGCGCTGTACACATAGCCATTAAAGATGAGAGGAGAAAGCGATCATTTGCAAATAGTGAATGGCTGCAGATGAGTAAATGTTGCTACAGGCTTCATTCCTGTCCTCAGTTTCTAATCCCTGATTTTTTTTTCCAAAGAAAGATGACTTTCCAGCTGCCTTGTCCCTCCCATGGAGCACCCTACCCAGCTACCTTGCCTCCTTTTTCTGGCTCCCCAAAATAAGATGTTTCTCAATAGCCTAATCAGATATTGGCCCTGAAGAGCATGTCTCAGAAATTTAAGGGTGAGATATTTTACCCAAAAGTTAGGTCAAAAATCCACATCAAGTTTTAACCATTTGGGACCCTCGGTTCCCAAGACTAGCTTTCGATTTGAAGGGACGTAGGTCAAGCTCACAGAAAATAAACTTCAGAGTCCTACATGTTCCTTCAATAAGCCTCACTTGGTTGTCTCCAAATTCTTGTTCTTAGAAATCCGTGCAAACAACAGTGTGTTATACAGCTTCTGAACTTCAACTGAATTACCAAGCATCTTTATCACAATATTGATGGGGGTACGATCATTTGATTCGTTTGGTAAAAATCAAGATGTTAAACATAATTAAAGGTATGAGACCAAAATCAGGAATTTAGGATTTCAGGTAAAGTCAACTCTGAGAGCAACAAACTCTTTTGATAGCAAAAATCATCAGAATATGGAAGTGAATCATTAATTAATATGCCCTCCTCCCAAAACACCAACACCAAATCATAAAAGTAATGTCAAAATTCTATTTTATCATAAAGTCCTCTTCTTACTCAAATATAGCTGTTTTAATGTCGTAAAAAGTGTTAATATGGTAAGAAAAATGATCTTTCTGATGCCTACTTTGCATTTCTGTTTTGGCTCATTATAATTTTTTTCAGTGAAGTATGTTAGCTATTCTGCTTGAGAAGATCGAAAGGATATTTTACATACAATTTTTGTCTTACAAAAATAATAACTTTCTCCTATAAGGGAGGTGTAGGAGAAAGGCACCTACATATCTGAAAATGGTGCCTCTGCTCTTGGCGTCAATTCATTGTTTAATGGTTGCCCAGCGACTCAGTCATTAATTATAGCATATACTGACCTTGTGACCATCATTAGATTTGTTATTTAACCATATGTGAGTGACAATACAATAAGAATTGTAAAATGGTCCCAACTAGCACCTGACGGTCTGTCTCTTTCTTGATTCTTATTTGTTGTTCTTAGGAAGTTATTCGTACTGTAAGGCAAAAAATGCCTGACTAGTGATCAGATAAGCTCATGAGTGCAACTATGGTACCTGGGGAAGCTTGAAAATAAGTCGATACAATAACAAGAGGAATGCTGGGCTTGTCTAGTGCGTATTTTCTAAGAGCCTTTTAAAATATCCAATACAGTATTATTTCGCTTTTACCAAACTTCTTCAGTTTGGGTTAAAAAATGAAAAACCCAAGGGAAAAAAAAGTTTTTCTTTCCTTTATTTTTGTCTATATACTTTCCTAGAATATTCCTAGAGTCTCTAAAAATTCTTTTCCTGTATTTTAGCTTTCAAACAGGATGTTTTACGTGACACTAAATATGGCTAATGCGTCTTTTTACGCTTTTTAAAGGTTTTCTTCAAACTACTGCTGAGGAGTTTTGCTTTTACTACGCAAGAAGAGATGGCGGGTTGTGCTTTCCAGATTTCCCACGAAAACAAATCAGAGGACCAGCATCTAACTACTTGGACCAGATGGAAGAATATGACAAAGTGGAGGAGATCAGCAGGTTCATAAAGATGATGCTCTTTAATCTTTCCTTAAAAATTTGACAAATCTTATGGCTTTGAAAGAGAATTGTCTACCTTTGCTTGTGTCCAGCAGCCTATAAACTTCTAATTTTTTTTTTAGTAGTTTGCTTCTCTACGATCATATTAGCTTAAATGCTTTTAATGCATAGACTACTAATCTTCTGTTATGAGCTTGGCTTTCCTATGATTCATGTGAATTTTATAAGTATAGTAGTTACTTGAAATTTATGGTTGTTATATTATGGTGTTGTTGAAATATTCAGGACAATTATTATTAGCAAATCAGAGTTTTATAAATATATCTTAGAACACTCTCTCTGAGCACCTTCCTGGCAGGGGTAATTATTGCAGGTAAAGCAGATTTTAATTATAATCACTGAAAGATGAGATAATGAGCTTATGAAGTTTTAAAATATACTTTTTTGGTAATTTTTGAAGCTGGATGATGTGTGAATGGTAGTTTTTTTAATTTTTTAAATTTTTTCAATTATAATACATTCAGTATTATTTTGTATCAGTTTCAGGTGTATAGCATAGTGGTTAGACAATCACATACTTTACAAAGTGTTCTCCCTGATGTTTCCAATACATGTTTTGATTCTCTCTTTTACTTTGTGATAGGAGGCAGGGATTTTTGGTTTGTTTTTGCCTTCCCCCAATTGAAAAGAACTTCAAAGAATCATAGTGTGCCTTTGGGTTAGCAGCCCTTCAGGACTGTCCAAACCATTGACTCCTAGAGGAAACATATTCTGAAAAGGATGCTAAGCGCATCCCTTCCCTCCCTCGCCTTAAGCAAAGCTGAGCGGTTTTCTTTCTTTGTGTAGAAAGCACAAGCACAGCTGCTTCTGCATCCAGGAGGTTGTGAGTGGGCTGCGCCAGCCCGTGGGCGCCCTCCACAGCGGGGACGGCTCGCAGCGGCTCTTCATCCTGGAGAAAGAAGGGTACGTGAAGATACTCACGCCCGAAGGAGAAATTTTCAAGGAGCCTTATTTGGACATTCACAAACTTGTTCAAAGTGGAATAAAGGTTGGCTTTTTCAATTTTATTTATCTTTGCTCTGGCTATGTTAATTTTTATTTTAGTGTTATCCTCCCTGAAGGTATTTCTTTATAATAAAAGAATGTTTAAGGAGAAAATAAGGAGACACCATAAGAGAACAGTAACTATGGCAACTGGGTCGGGACAATGACATTAAATTTTTAATGTTATTTGGTGACTATTAAACAGTGCAACCAGATTGGTATTTTGACATGCATTCCCTATGTAATTTACACGTTTAAAATAAGTCTTGGCCTTATAAAGTATTTGTTGAAATGTTGTTTAGTAGGCATAATACTTACAATTGTAGAATTGTACGTCAGTATTTGCTGGTAGAAACAAAGAGGTCTTTGGGTTATTTTGGCTGTTGCAAATCATTCTTGACCACATCTGTTTTTGAGCCTGTATCATAAAAGATGCTACTACTTACATTGTGACTTCCTTGTACAATGTTTTTGCAGGTAAGTCAAATGTTTTATCTATAATCCATTTTTATAAGTATATCAGCACATCTTTTGCCTCTTTCCCACTTCTCTCCAATTTGAGTGCTCATGTTAAGTACTCTAGTTGGTATGTAAATAAAATGACCAAATTTGTTTCACAAGAGAGTAACACAGTATAATATTAGCAATACTAAGCTGTAAAGCAAATTTTGGCATTCTATAATTAAGGCACGTAGAACAACTATTTTAGAAGGAAACAAAGTAATTGTATATTATTTGGGAAGAACTGGTTATCTTTTTCATTTCTTAAGTGGAAAAAAAAAGAAAGGAAGATTTATACTCCTCTGCTCATATAGAAATAAACTCCTCCTTGCTTTGTTGCGCTCTACTCAAAGGTAAGGATATCAAAACCAGAACAAACAAGTTGGAAAAAATACAAATACATTCCTGATACCTCTGTATTTGGTACCTACCATGCAAAATTATTAGAGTGACTCAATTAGAACATAGGGAATGCCCTATTGTTGGGACCACCCAGCCTCAAGCCCACGCCGTGACAGTGTCACCAAGACATGCTGCCCAGGAGAAGCGCCTTCTTATACTTATGGTCCTTTAAGGAAAAGGACTTTGGCACCAAGACATAGGTCATTTGGAAAATCTGTTTAACTCAGTAGTTTCAACTTTCTTCCAATAAAATTTTTCTTTAGAACTCACTACAAATAATCAAAAGTCTCTTAAAATGAAGCATTAGTGTTTTGCACATCGGAGTTCAGTAACTACATTCTGAAATGTGTTCTGATGACCCACTGTCAGAGTATCTGGTGAGCAAAGAAAAAGGAGCAGCTACAGTGCACTACTCACTGAGAGCGTATTTTTCTTACTCTGTAAGCAGAACAGCTCTCTAAAAAAGAAGAAAGAATGGGGAAAATATTTTTAAAACTTATTGCCTCTAATCCCATTAATTAAAGGTTATCACTATTAACATCTTGATATACTTTCTTCCAGTTTTTATATAAAAATTAAATGAATTTTTCCTGACTATACAGGTAATGCAGGTCCATATTAATAAATGCAGAAACACACAAAGAGATATGTTTTCATGTAGTTTTTATCCTAAAAAATTTTAAAATAAAATTGAAATCAAACCATATAACCATCTCCTTAGACTTCTTTTTTTTTCCCCCTAACAATAAATGCAATGAGTATGTTACTAGGTTTGAAAATTTTTCTCAGAAACTCCATTTCCTTTTTATGAGACATTTAGGATTACTCTGGTCTTTTCTTTGTATCATTCCTATACAAAGATTTGTTACTTATCATTCCTATATATTATTTAGCCTGATCATAAATGACTTTCTTAAGATTCATTCATAGAAAGAGCATTAGAGTTGAAGGGCATGCACCATATACACACACATTGTCAATTTGCTCTAAAATATGTTTTCAGGTACCTGAAAGAATAATATATCATTTCCAAATATTATTTTAGTGAAAATGTTGGCATCGAAAAGATACAGATGATAAAGTGTAGGTAAAAGGAATGAGCTAATAATACTTGAAAGTTTTGTTGTAAGGAACAAACAAAAAAAAACCCTGATGTACAAATAAGATATTTGTACTTTAACTGTCTAATGAATGTCTTCCTTTTAATTAGAGTTACTGCGGTCCCTCTTTTCACAAGCGTGCCCATTCATTGGGATATTGAATGGAAGTGTATCTTCTGTGCTGTTGAGACACTGCATCACGCAACAGCATTGCACAGCCAGCCTATGACAGGCTGTGGTTCTGCCGTGGGCGTGATAGCAGGCTTCCAGGAATTCTGCAGAACCTTCTGTGGCCCCTTCTCCTGGGCTTAAAACCAACTTCAAAATCCATTATCCCACATCTGTAGAGTGACATCTAATGTAATAGACCTGGTAGGGTAAGTCTCAGCAATCCCCCTTCCTAGAGGGGGCTGACCCCTGGTCCAAGGACAGATCCTGCTTAGTTACAGTCTCCTCTAGCAACTGGTGCAGGAAGAGGGGTGTGGCCCAGGTAAACTCTCAGGAGGGCTCCTACTCCATGCTCGGGGATGAACTTTCTCTTTCCCTAGACAGGAACGAGGAAGCCTGATGCTTCCACTGCTGCCTGCCTACACCCTATGAACATCATATGATACACTTTAAAGTGCCATATTTGAATCCCCTTAGCATTTGACACTTGTGCTATCAATAGGATACCAATCTATCACATGGATATTTGAGTGCAAGCTGGATAATGAGCAATGGGACCACGTCCTTATCTCTCAGGGAGGTTATACCACCGTTGTGGCCTTTATCTCAGTTTCCATGGAAATCCTGTCACAAGTCACGGGTTGGAAGCCTTAGAAGAGGCGGCTATAGGGATGGTGGAGGAGGCGCCAATCCGTCTGGGAGCTGCCCACGCCATTGATTCCCATGGTGTGCCCTTCAGAGACTTCAGGTGTTCCACAGTAATCTTTCAGGCTCCCTGATATATGAATAGTTAGTGTGTTCACAGCAATATTCTGTGTTTGTCAACAATCATTTTGCATAAGTAATGCAAATAGGAATTTTCATAAATTATTATGCATCACTTCTTTACTATTCTATTTTAAAATCCCAAGAGAGGCAATACAGCTGCTTCAACAGAGCACAGGATTGATGCCAATACTCAGGTAACAGAATTAATAATGTATACGAAACCCGACCTTCTTATGTTTGAAATGAAAACAAGACAACCCCCCAGTGGGGTCCTCCATGATATTAATTAATGACCAGCATGAGTACATTAAATCAGACATAAAGCAGAATTCCTGATTATAAGAGTTTCTAAAGCTAGCGCTGGCTGGAAGGGAATGTGAAATTCCTTTTCTGCTAATTGTCAATTAAGAATTGATAGTGATTTCTGTCACGTGAAAAAGGACTGACCTTTTTGTGGCAGCGACTAGCCTTGGTTGATCCCCTTAAACCTGTGCTAGCCCTGATTCTTGGAGCCAGCAAAGAACCAGCCCTTCAGGGGGCTTGGACAGCCCCTCCCAGTGGGGGTCCTACCTGAAGCTACCTATGCTGTCTTGTTTGAAACACCTAGGTTCTGCTGCTGGACTGTGGGAGAAGTCAGCACCCTGTGAGCATAAATGCCTGTAGTTTCACTGAGCAAAAGTTCTACTCAGAAATGCAAAGCACAAACTAAAGAATTGACTTCTTTTTGCTCTAGAAAATAAATTGTGGAGCTCGATTAATGGAGTACATTCTATGCTATAGGAATTTAAGCTGCCATTTCATTTAGGAAGAGATGATTCCATCCACAATAGCCTAATACTGAAATGACTCCTGGGATCAACTAGTTGGACACACTTGTCACTTGCCCTGTACCTTTAGCCACTTACTTGACCTTCCTTGTTCATTTTGATTAAGGAGGCGAGTTCATTTTGGCAGCATGTAAGATTCTTGATAGAAAGTCTTGGTAAATGGTATTTAATAATCTCGACAATTAATTCTAATTAGATAATCGTTTTGCCCATTAAATTTGACCTGTTTTTTTTTTTCCTTTTTAGAATCTGGTATTCATCTAGTTGACAAAACTGTTATCATTCCTGTTCCTCAGATATGTAATATGCTAAAAATACCTGAGAATCCCTTGTAAAAAATGAACAGGATACCAGAAGTTTCTCTAGTATAATTTCACCAAACCTCCCCCGGCCACCAAGGATGTGAGAGTCCACCTTAGCTTCTCATGTGCACAGCAGGAAAAACAAGCCTGCACCTGTCACCTGCATGGTGGCCTCTTAAGGGAACCAACAACTGCTACCCTCTGCCACCAAGCTCTCCTGAGCGGGCAGGGGAGGTGAGACTCACAGCCACAGCCCCTTCGGCTGGCGGCATGCAGCAGACAAGGCTGAAAGACTTGTCTGTCACTGGGACAAATGTGACTGGACTCCTGTCCCTCTCTATCTACTTGGATCCTCATTTCAAAAGATGCTTTTTGAAGCAGTCCTTTTACCGGGGTGGTGGGGGGGAGAAGGACGTAGGGCTGAAAGCTGCTGATTGTCCGGGTGACTGAGCCCATTGAGGTGAGGCTCCTGCGAGACAGCAGCCAGAGCGCCCGGGAGCCTCCGGAGCCTGTGGGGAGGACGCCGGGTGCGCCTGGGCAAGCCCTGCAGGGGCGGCCTCTGATTTCACATGCTTGTAAATCACACGCACAACCATGAGCATCGAAAGTTTAGGGAAACCCAAGGGCTCGTCAGCCTATTGGGTTGATGTCCTGCTTTTCTGAAGTTTGTCAGAGACCTAACCTTTTGCGTTGTCCTCAGTCTTTAACTTGCGACCTTAGGACAGCCCAGGAGATATTAGTGTATTTTTGTTCAAGTGAAACAAATCAGAGCAAAAGTTAGAAGCAATTTACTATACAAAATTAGTATTGAAAACATAGCACTCTCATATATGCATATGGTGATGACTGGACCACGTAGCAAATGCTCCCTCAGGAAAATCGTTAAAGCTCCACTTTTAAGCATGCTTCAGGTTGGGAGAAAGCCTGGTTCACCGA